GAGTGGACTGTTTTGGTGGCTGAGGAATTGGAGATGATGGCTTAGGTGGTGCCTGTGTTGGTGGTTTTGGTGTCCATGGCCACCACTGATTTGTTGGTGGTGGAGGTAGCGGCGCTTGTTTCGGTGGCTGAGGAGCTACTGGTTTTGACGGTTGAGGATCAGAGGTTGGCGGTATAGGCTTTGCAGGCTTCACTGGAGATTGCTTATGTGGATCAGGTGATGGCACAGTAGGTGCAGCTGGCTTGGGAACAGGTGTATGGAATGGAGGTGGCACAGAGCCGCCACACCTCTCATAGATCGCGTTGCAATCCACATTTCGGTCCACAGAGCATATATTTGGCATTCTCTGCTCAGGCCTATCAGCCAAACAGTTGTTTGTATCATTCATCACAAAGTTCTTCCCGGAACTGCATTCTTTACTCACTCCCTCGAAATAATTATCATTGAATGTGAAATTCGACAGTTTCGGTAGCTTGCAGATCTCCTCTGACACATTACCTATTAGTTGATTATGTGAAAGGTCCAATATCTGAAGATTTTTCAGCTCTTTAAAGCTCTTAGGCAAACTTCCCGAGAGATTGTTGAAGGTAACATCAAATACAGTCAAATTGCAAAGCTCTCCGAATTCTTGTGGCAGACAACCTCCAAGTTGATTGTCAATTAAGAGAATCTCAGCCAAGTTTTTCATCTTGGTAAGATTTGTGGGAATGCTACCAGAGAACCTGTTATGAGCAAATACAACAACAGATACATTTGATTTTCCGATTGTATCCGGAATGCAAGACGAGAACCTGTTGTTGTTGATGAAAAATACATCAAGTGGCAGCTCAAAGGCCTCAGGAGGCAGCTCGCCTTCAAAATCATTAAATCGGATATCAAGATACTTGAGCTTTTTCCAGTACAGAACAACTTTCGGGAAAGGACCAACGAAACGATTGTTGCTGATATCAAACTCAACAAGACAGGTCAGGGATGACATGCTCATTGGAATGATTCCACAGAACCTGTTAGTGTTTATGTGGAACAGCACAAGATCTGTCAAGAGCCCGAGCTCAGCCGGGAAATACCCAGCAATGTCAGCATGATTAAGATCAATACCAGAAACAACTCTGATCTTGGGGTCATCACTCGCCGGTGTACAAAACACACCAGTATATGAGCACACATCTGGTCCAACCCAATTACCGGTCGTGTTAAAAGGGTCGGAGTAGATGGCCTTCTTGAAGGCGTGAAGCCCCACATACGCCTTCTTTAGCCTATCGTTTTCAAACTGTTTATCAAGTCCTATCTCGAACTCAGGAATCGGTAGTTTTCCATCTTTAGGGAGTGTCAACAGTTGACGACGAGCAATAAAAGATGCCTCAGCATCCGTAAGAGCATGAGAAATTATTGAGAAGGAAGAAAATAAAATCAAGAAATAGAAGCAGCCAGAGGCCTGAATGTGTTTGATGCTGTTTGGCATATTATTATTACTATTGTACAGTACCTTATTGTTCTTCCTTGGAAGCCCAAGGCTGCTTATAGAGATAAACGGAGGGAAGGGTTCTTATATGGAGCGAACGGTTGATATTTTACGGGAATTTTGGCTGAGTTTTAGACCATAATTTTTTTAGTGATCTATTTTTAGACCTCCAAGTTTGGGGATGGAATTCAATTGAATTGCGATTTCTAAGCTGAAGCACTGCTAAAAATGGAGGATTGATGGATTCTGAGTGCTTTGAGGAAACAGAAATTTCAACACCCTCAGGATTCTGATTTGTTTACAAGTGGCAGATACTAGAGATCAAATATTTTGTAGCATTTTAAGTAATCTTTTATCTCAGGAATCATCAAAGTTCTGTTTATATATATAAGTTGAAAAAAAAAATTGTAAGTTATGCCTGTATGAAATATGATTGACTGCAAAGTGTCCGGGTTGACCAATTTGACCGGCTGGTCAAACCGGTGACAACTTTTAAAATTCACAAATACTTCCTTAAAAATTGCAAGTAAATTCTTATAGGTTTGAAATTTAGCAAATATACCCCAAATATAAATCGACGGTCGACTAGTTGGCGGTGGAGACACCCTAAATGCAATTTCAATCATCCCTTGAGCCCATTCCCCAAAAAATCTACCCAAGATGTAGTCGAAGTTCGATTTTGACCAAATCTCACCAACGCCGACGTCCCAGGCCAAATCTCACTGACACCCATGTCGACAACCCTCCCTATCACCCTGAAAATACTCCTCTTTGTCGCCCGACCAGAAACCACCTCACCCTACCCCAACTGGCCTGGCCAATCGTCAGCTATTACGGCTGCCTATTTTTTTCGATTTCCCGTCAATTCACTTACCGAAAATCAACTTCGTTATCACCATTGCACTCATCGGCACTTTCTTTTCAAAAACCCCAACATCTCGACTTCAATTATTCACCGATCATCATCCCAAATTCTAGGGTTTTAGATAAATAGGAAAATTGTTAACTCGGCCCGATGAAGCTCCCAAGTCCTAGTTTAACCGACCGAGCCGGGTTTTAAAACACTGATTGATATTATGTAACTTAAGGAAAAACACTAAAGAGCAAAATTGCATCCTTGCAGGAAAGTTTCAAGTCTTAAAAAGATATCTCAATTATACAGGCATCTGAGCCTGGAGGATGTTATGTTGATGAGACCATAAAGTAATTGGCAGAGCAAGCTGCATTGTCTTGTTAAGTTTATCGACTTTTATGAATATCTAGTCTAGTTTAGTCATATGTCAGATATTGATGGCACTGAGATAAATAAATGATTTCTGGAAAATACTGGTAAGCATCTGCAGTGACCTGAAGCCACAAACCTGGGAAGAAACTAGATACAGGTTTGCTTGTCTTCGACAGTGATGATGATCATCAAAATGAAATCAAATTATAGTGAACAAAACAGGAATTATCAATCAGTACTACCTTTCTGTAATTTACAAATCGCCAGATATCAACTGTACTAGTAGAACTAAGAAAATGGTAGCAAACTCCAAAACAAAATGCAATGGAAGCATTAAATGGCCATGGCTAACCTATCAGCTGATACATATATGCTAAATGGTAAATACGGACAAAGCTCGCGCAAAGTATTTACTTAAAAGAGGAGTTTACACAGTTGATATAATTTTACAAAGAACTCTAAATCGTCGCATAAACCAGATATCTCAACCATGAAAGTAGTTTGCGATAAACAACCGAATCAAAAGTATCACTCTATGAACAATATCTACAGAGAACCAAAACAGAAACACAAGCTCAATAAACTCCTCTGCTTTTAATAGCATTAGCTGATTATCAATCTGTTTCATGGTCGGGGACAGGGGAATACCATGCAGGGAACCTTCCCTTACTTCTAAGCAATCTTGTGTAAGGAGAGTCCGGCAATCTTCCTCTCTCTTCTTCCTCTAGCTGTTCTGATGATTTCGGCAATCCATCCGGTACATGATGAAATGGTCTACTTCCTTCTTTTTCAGCACTCGATGACTTTGCCAAACCAAATTCATTATGTTTTCCCTTGTGGATCGATGAAATCCCATGTAAGTATCCGATTAAGGATTTTACACCACCCGCTTGCAGAATCAGTTTCTCAACATCTTCTTTCGGCGCTTCCCTCTGGAGAACATAGAAATTAGATATAAAGGTTAGATTCAAATTCTGGGGAAGTTTATTAAGAATCTTACACACTTAGCTCAGATTTTATTTTTCAATCTTTCCATGTGAATCATTCATTTTCCTAGAAACCAAACAGGACATATGTAGTATAACTAATTAACCAAGCCTAGATGAAGTACTCAACTATGAGTTTGGTTCCTGAAACCATCAAATGTATTTAACATAATATTTTAATACATTTTGTCATCTTTATAAACATGAGATCATACAATCCTAAACAGTAGTAAACTTACTTCCAGATCTTTAAGCTCAAAATAAGCTCTCCAGCAGCTGTAAGAATCATCTCCTTCAAGCGTTGAACAATAATCTGCACCAAAAACCATAGCAAATCAGCACTTAAACTAAACAATAAAACAACTACTAACTTACACAATAACAAAAAGTGCTTTTCCCAAAAGTGGCCAAGTAAAAGTACTTCCCGATATAACCCTTTTACCTAATATGAAAGTGCTTTTTTTCAAAAGTGCTTTATCACTCCTCAAACGCACCATTAAAATCAAACAAACTGATTACTCGCAAAAAGAACAGGCATCAAGAACGTACCCGCAAGATCGTTCTCAGATTTTTCGATCAAGGGCAGATCTTTAACGGCACGTTCGAACTTGGTTCGGCTAAAAGGTTCAAGCTTTGGAACATTATAAGCGTTGTTTCGTGAAGAGCGACAAACCACTGAACCAAATCTAGGTTCCCTCGTACCATGAATATCTTTAGCTTCCACCAGCATCGGAACTGGACTGGAACCAACGACAATCGACTTTAACATCGTGTCCAAACACTCTTAAAAGACACAAAAAACTTGTTCTGGTTTTGGTTAAGTTTTGCTTTGTCTTAAAAATAGAGAAAGAAGATATACATGATACGAAGATATTCCTGAAATTCTTTGATGATTAAAGTGTAAGGTGGGACCCGGTTAGTGGATAAGGTTCAGATATTTTTTTTATATTTTGGACGGTTGTGATTTGTTCAGATTGAGATTATATTGACTTTCTTCTCGGATGCCGTGTGGAAGTGGCACATTGGATTCGAGAGTCGGTTTTCAAAACGCGGCGTATCGTGAATCTGTGACTGTGTGCACATTGTTTGTGATTTATGGGGCTCCCAATCTATGACTCTGAGCCGGCCCAAATGCTTCCACGAACCGGCCCAAATGCTTCCATGAACCAGGCCTTCAGGCCCAAATTTTATATTCTCTAATTAACATGTCATAATAATAATGATGATGTGTTTAGTAATAAATGTAAAATAATATTTCGAAAATTTGAGGCTTTTAGTTGAACAACCTTCAATTTCCTGCAACCATAAAAGACCAACGTAAATATTAAAGAGGGTCTTACTGAGATTGATGACATCTTTTTTTCAATACTTAAATAAGCTGTTTGAACTTAAGAAAGTATTAAGTTATTATGTACATTTGAAAAGTTCTCAAGAGCCAGGGTAAGAGAGGTTTTATATAATGGAGGTCAATGGATTGAATTGTGGTAACTAATTCAATATTTGCTATCAGAATCAGTCGAAAATCAGCTAAGAATATGAAACTCTAGCTTTGCAGTGCCGACAATCAGTAAGAAATCAGGTGCTGGAGTGAGAGAAGTTTTGTAGAAAAGAGAACGGAGGTTCAAATGGTAGTGACGGGGTGAATTTTTATCACTGAAATCAGTTTTTCATAGTGACGGAATATTAACTCTCGGTAAGTGGAAAAGTGATATCTTGAAACTTTTTTAGTGGAAAAAAGTCGTTTAGTCTTTTAGAGTATTTTCTTAAAATTATCATCATCATATTTAGCCTTTGGCCAAAGTTTGTGGGTAGTTAGTTGAAGATTAATGTAACTATGAATTGAACAATTATTCTCAGCTTGTCCGTAAATATAATCGAGCAATTATTTCATAATTAATCTCAAATATTCCACAATTTGATTATGATTAGAGTAAACGATTTTTTTCCCACCCAAATAATAGCTGACTAACACTTTCCCACCAACATATTTTTAAAATACAATTTTTTTACCCAAAGTTAAATTATGTTTCCAACTCTAGCATTGTTGCAACCCTACACCATCATCATTCTCTTTCCCGATCATCACTCACCAAAGCCCCTCAAATCTTACTCCTGCCGACCCCACCAATCGCCACCAATCGAGAGATTAAGATTTGTACAGTTGCCCCTCCCAAGTTAAATTCTAATCAATCCCAACCACAAAAATCCAACATTTTACTACCAAAAAACTCATCGGTCTCTCCTCTTCAAAAGTGCTAACAGTATGGATCGAGTTCGCTCTCTGTTCGCTGTCGAAATATAAATTTAGATAATAAAATGGTATTTTAAAAGTCTGTAGGTAGAAAAGCGTTATTAAGCTATTATTTGGGTGAGAAAAAATCGTTAACTCTTATAATAGAGTTATAGTTGATTCATACCCATTATACTTTTGTCTCCTATGAACATTATATTGTACCATCCATTACATTTTTTATTCACCTAAATAGCTGAATATTGAAATCTAATATGTTTGACATACTCAGCATCCACTTTGAAATAAGTTGGCAGACAAATTATAATAAGTTAATTTAATCTGAAAATGAGACAAAATAATATATAATATATGATACGAATATGAGAATAATGACTTGGTCCCAAATCAGAAATCAACCTGGCCACCTTGCCCACGTTCCCCCCATTTTCCAACCAGTCAATTGCCAACCAATCAATGAGTTAACGACTTTTTCCCACCTAAATAATGGTTTAACGATATTTTCTTATCTATAAACTTTTAAAATACCATTTTATTACTTAAATTTT